TCTTGACCGATCAATTATAACCAAAACTAAGAAGAAAATTCTTGGGGATAGCGGTCTAGAGGCAAATAATTAAACAATTTATTACAAACGCCGAGCTTTCGGAAAATATATTTCCTTTTTCAAGGCTAAAACATATCACAAAAGTCAACTGAATATAATATAATATTATATAAACTTACGTGTAAAAAGTTTAATTATAAAAATAGAAAAATATATCAATTTCCATATGGAAGAAAGGAACTAAAATTTTGTATAAAAGTTAAAATCTTCTTAAATATGATTTCTGACATTACTAAAAATTATTTTGACATAGAAAGGTAAATTTAATTATTAATAAAAAACACGTAAAAAACATATAAGGTTAATCACAAGTTACAAATAAAAATAAAGAAAAAATCAAATTTTAAATATTATTTTTATTTTTAATAAAATGGAGTAAGAAGGAATATAAAAGAAAATAAACTTAAGATAGATATGAAACTTAATAGTAAAATTTGAGGTCAAAGCGCCCCCCCGTGTCCCTAGTCAAGACTACGTTTAACCCAGCGCCTTCGCCTTTTCTGCTGGTTTAGAACGCCTATCTTCCGTAATTGACATCTCACGTCATATACGCACGCCCATTGTTTATTTGTAATAATCGATTTTCACTGTAAATCTACTACCTGTAATAAATAATATAAGAAAATACTACCTATTTTACAGTCTTTTTCGATAAATCGCAATAGTGTCATGTGTCACTGTTAATTTAAGTTCTGATACAATTTCTTTCTATATGTTAAAGAAATACCATAAAATAAGGTCAGTAAAGACAGACAAATCCATAAAATTTCAAATCAAATTCAAATGTGTCAAATGTAACGTTAAAAAATACTGCCAAGGGTCCCCACCGTAGGTCCCCATCTCGGTCTACCATACATGAATACATGGGCAGCATTATACTCCTTCTATAATACTTTTATTCACAGGACTTACTAGACATTCTAGAATAGAAATTCAACAAAAAATAGTTGGAAAATGGAATTTTCAAATCTAGAAATGTATTGAAATATACACAACCAAACTTATATGGAATCATCTATTATTTTTCATAATATTTGAGATGTTTGAAAATTTTAGTGTTTATGAACAAAACTCAGTCCTTACCAATGACTTTTAATAAAAAATAATCCATATAGTAGTAAAAAAAATAATAGGTTCCCAAAATAAACAAAATGGTATTTTTTGGTTTCTGAAACAAAATTAAGATTTAAATTTTTAATGACCAAAAAGCAAAAACAAAAAGAAAATTGATAATTTTAATATTCCTTTTTGCCACCTCTAGCCCTTATGCAAGCTTCTATCTGCGCTGGCATGCTTCTTATTAAATTATCAATGTTGTCTTGGGGTATGTTTTCCCATTCTGCTAATGCTGCATCAATAAGCTGTGCAAGATTTCCTGGATTGTTTCGACGAGCTCTAACCCTTCTTTTGGGCTAGTCCCACAAGTGTACGATAGGGTTTAGATCTGGTGAACATGCAAGCCAGTCCAAAACTATCCGTTGACACCTTCCGTTTCAAGACATTCTCTAGTCACTCTGCTGGTATGGGGAGGTGCACTATCGTACAAGAAGTTAAAATTATCTCCATTTGCTGCTCTCTAAAGACTAACGATTGGTTCTAGCACCAAATCAACAGATCCCCGACCCCTTAAAGTTTGTTGAAGTAGTAACAATGGAGTGTTTTGCTCCCAGAATAATACCTCCCCAGAATATTACAGTTCCTCCTTCATATCTTGATACAGATTTGGCAGCCTGAAGTCTCGCTCGTCTTCCTGGATCTCTGAGAATCTGAATTTGATGGTTACCTGATCTTAGGCCAATTCTGGTTTCATCCGAAAAAAAGAACATTTTGCCAATTCTCATTTGTCCAGTATTGATGTTGAAGGCATCAATTAAGCCGGTCAATTTAATTTTGCCGAGATAACTGTGGGATCCGTAACTCTCTCCTACTGTAAAACCCTCGAGCACAAAGCCTTTTTCTTATGATTTCAACTGAAACGTTCACACTTGTAGTTGCCACAAGTTGTCCTTTTAGCTCTGGATGAGAAACATTGGGATTTATTCTAACAATTTGGCATACAAGGCGGTCTTGTTGTTTAGTTGTGACTCTTTGATGACTTTGTCTGGGCCTGTCCTTGTGTGTTCCTAATTCCAAGTGTCTTGCATATATTTTCGATACAACGCCCTGGGTAACGCCTACTATCTTTGCTACGTTTCTTTGGAGCATTCCTTTTTGGCTGAGAGCAATAATTCTTCCCCTCTATACATCTGTTAATCTAACATAAGACATTTTTTTATTTTTTTTGGATCGAATGAAAATTACCGGACAATCGTGATTTTACTACTGAACACAAAATTCAAAAGAAAATAAATCGCAGCAGTCGTTTGTTCTTTATTATCATGTTTATTTACAACAAAAAAGCCTTATCTTAAAGTTGTATACCAATTTTTATCCTTGCAAGAAATTTAGACAGAAATAAAGAGCGATTCCATATAAGTTTGGTTGTGTGTATGTAGAAAAAACTTGAAAATATAAACAAAAATATTGAGAACATATAGCAACAATTGTCATATCGATGGATCTCAATCATTCTAGATCATTCGCTCAGTCAGTCATCCGTACCATAAGATTGACACAAGAATCACTTCAGTTCACTGTTAGGCGATAAAAAGTTACCCGGATTAGCTGATGCGGCTAACTAATTAGTTAATTCATAGATTAGTTGATGTTTATAAGTTCTTCCGGGAATTCAGAAAATATCCTGTATATCATAGTTTTAATCGAAACCCACTTACAAATCGTAAAAGAGCTTTTACATTTTCAGCGACAATAAAAAGAATTTTTCAGATTATAGACTATTTGTTAAATTGATTATCTTCAAAAATTTTATAAATGGAATTTCATATACCGTTGAACAATATTTAGAATTAGGCTATAAGAATATACTATTATTTTCCATGTCTTCCATAAGTTCATAACGGAGTTTTTAAACCATATCTTCAAAAATAATTTATCTGGTCCCCTAATATCAGTAATTTAAATAATTTTCGTAAGCCTCTATCATTACAAAGTTACTAAAATAATAATAATTCCAATGATCCTTCGGCCATTTGAATCTGAATATTTAATTTTGAATTTAAAATGTTTAAAAAAGTTCCTCATATTGATTTGAGTATTTTTTTTTAATAAACATTATGATAATTCAAGTTGCCTTGTTGTTTTTCTCATTAATATACAAGGTGGTTCGAATTGTATCGGGAATCTTCGGCAGCGTATTCTACAGATAAAAATAAGTAAAATGTTTCTATAAATTTATGCCCAGAAATGCTTCGTTTCAGATATACAGGGTATAGAAGTTTCATTTTTATTTCCATTTTTTCCAAATAATTTCTGAAGGTTATTATTTGGATGAAAATAGGTAGGTGTTTTTTGACATGAGAAATTTTAATTGTCAATATGACTCCTACTGAAACAATTTCTGTTGAACCTTGGTATATTTTTTGTGTTGAACGGTGGTTACGGTTGAACCCTTAGCACAAAAACATTTCAAATTTATGATTTCAGTCTATATAACTCTCTCACAAAATGTTAAATTTTTATCGAGTAGTTTGTTAGGCAAAATCGGACGAATTAGCGTATACCCGTCCGCCGGATAGAAAGCAGGCAAAAAAATGCGATAAAATAAAAATAGGTAGATATGTGCTAAGAATGTTTCAGAATTTATTTATTCGTGTTTCAGTTCTCGTGTAAAATTTATTTTTTAAGTAAAATAATGGATGTTTACGAAGTTCGTGAGAAAATTCAAATTGTAAAATGGTATTTCCAAAATAGGTCTTATCGGGATATACAAACAATTTTTCCACAAACGTTTGTAAACAGGCCAATTCCATCTTTACCTACTATATCAAGATTAATAATTTTGAAACACATGGGTGCGTGTCCTCACAAAAACACAAAAAGCCTGATGTGTTGATTAATGAAGAACAGGAGTTAAAGCAAGTGTTCATTTGTGCTACCGCGGATCAAAATCTCACGTTTTCAAGTAATCAAATTGCTGAGGTAGTTGCCATGCCCACAATGCCCGTAATTGTTCAAGGATATTTGAACAATACTTTTCCCAACCGTTTAATTAGTCGATATGGAACTATTCTGTGGCCCGCTAGATCACCAGATCTTTCTCCCAATGATTTTTTTTCGTGGGGTTATGTAAAATCTAAAGTGTATGGTCATAATCGTCATAATAGAGCTAATAATCTAGATGAGCTTCAAGTAAAAATACGAGAGGCTTTCCAAACTATTAGCCATAATATGTTAGCCGATGTCAGACGAGGATTTTACGACCGCCTAGGCTTCTGTCTAGCACAAGAAGATGGTCTTTTTGAACACTTGTTATAACTTCTTTTTATTAAGAGTAATATTTTAGTTTTTTTGGGTTTAGAGAATTTATTTATTTTTAGTTTTGGCTTGTAAACACACTCAAATAATAAATATTTTTATTTTAAATGTTACCTTAAGTGAAGGTAAACACTTAAAATGAAAATAATAAATACTCGGCACTCCTCGCGTCGTATTCCTAGTCTGTCACGACCGACCCGTCCAAGCACAACTGCAACTGCGTACTGCCTAACCAGCCGACTAGCCGGCAGTGAATCTCGAGTACGAATGCAAATCGGGTAAACGTAAATTCGTCCGGCAACTTGCTATGTTACTAGTAGCCTGGTCTTCTCTGTATATTGATTACCTGAATTTTAAATATCTCGAGAACCATTACTTGTAGCGATTTTTACCAAGATACGTCATAATTGTATATTTTTTACTTAATAGTTTTATACAGGTACGGACGAAAAGTCATCGAAATCAAATTTTTCTTGACAAAAAATTCCCAAAGACCAATTTTCATCCAAAAGCGACATTAGTTCAGAAATCATTTAGAAAAAAATTCAGAATTCCTTTTTTTTCAGACCAAACGTTTGTAGAAGTAGAGGCAGGACATTTTGTTGTCCAGGATGGCAAAGACATGCGGCCTTAGGATTATGTATTATACGTAAGTATTGTTTGTTTAGTAAGGGTTGTCGGTATTTTCAATATTTGTGGTATTAGAAAATAATATTAATATTTGCAGCCGTGTGTTCAAGGACATGTTCTCCAGGACAGTGCGTCTCTCCCAACATTTGCCTATGCGCAGGAGGTCACAAAGCAGCTTCATGTCAGGCACAAAAACTGAGTTATCCAGGTAAGTGTTTAATCATTTTCATCATAAAGATGTTATATATAATTAGTATACGCGACTAAATACATCAAGAATATCTATAATCTTACTACAGGTAAATTAATCTGATCTACAGGGTGAGTTTCCTACGATGTTCTCTATGGGTATCTCGGAAACTACTAGAGATAGAGAGTCGATTAAATGGGGAAAGAATTGCAGTTTTGTGGGGTCATAAATATGCGTCTTTCAGATTTTTGAAAAAGTTCATGGCTTACTAGATATTTGGAAAAAAACAAATTTCGACTATTTTAAAAATTGCCCCTAATTCCATTATAAGCTATTTTAGACAAAAAGTTTTCATATAAAAGTTGTAGATAATCACATCCTTAATGAGACTGTGTCCTCCGTTTTTTTCTAAAGCCTGTCAGTTTTGACATATGTTTTTTAAATGGAAACCATAGTTGGCCATGACTTCATACAAAGCGCCATTTCTTAAGCTTTTCAGCGATATAAGCTATAATATGTTTTCTTCGAAAAATTACTTCGAGTTATAGCCAATTCTTATGATTTTTAAACAATTTCACTTAGTTAGCCATGGAATCAAGTTTAATCGCCGTTGCTCCCAGAAATGTGAAGCTGTCACATCCAAACTTTGTAAATTAAAATAAAGAAAAATTGTAAATATGAATTTTTCAAATGAAGGAAAGCGTGTAGGATTATTGGTTCAACTTTTCTTGACCATACATTTTCGAGGATACGTTGACCGGTGAATGTTACTTTTCTTAGAGAACGGTTTTAAAGACATGTTAGAAAAGTTAAATTTAGTTATAGCCAATTCTTATCTTTCTTGCTTAATTTAAATTAGATGGCATGGTATTCTTATTCTGTTATGATTTATAACTTAAAAAAAAGTCAAATTACTAAACGGTTCCTTACAATTTACATTACACAAACTAAAACTTAAAAAAATAATATCACTGCATACACTTTAAGTTATTTTAGAAAGTGTTAAAAAAATCCGCCATTGTTTTGAGTTGCATCTTTTTAGAACTGAATTACTACCTATTCTCACAGAAGGACTGGTCGACTTAATTAAACTTCTCTCGTACCGCCAGTTCGAGTGCCTCTCTTAATTCATAAGTTCTTTTGTAAACCTTATTGTTAACCATACCGCATAAAAAAAATCTAAAATGGATAGGTCAGATGATCAAGGAGGCCCATGCAATTGGTCCACCTCTTCATATCTCTGAGTTTGCATAATTATGATATAAATAATTTTTAACATTTTTTTCATTATGGAGGGGGTGGGGGAAGTCACAATGTAAGTCATGCAAGAACCACTCTATTGATGCGCGAGTATCTACACGCTTTTCTTCATTTGAAAAATTCATATTTACAATTTTTGTTTATTTTAATTTGCAAAGTTTGGATGTGACAGCTTCATATTTCTGAGAGCAACAGCGATTGAACTTGTTTCCATGGCTAACTAAGTGAAATTATTTAAAAATATTAAGAATTGGCTATAACTCAGTAATTTTTCGAAGAAAACATATTATACCTTATATCGCTGAAAAGCTTAAAAAATGGCGCTTTTTATGAAGTCATGGCCAACTATGGTTTCCATTTAAAAAAACATATTTGTGTCATATGTCAAAAAGGACAGGCTTTAGAAGAAAACGGCGATTAGATTATCGACAACTTTTATCTGAAATTTTTTTGTCTAAAATAGCTTATAATGGAATTAGGGGCAATTTTTAAAATAGCCGAAATTTGTTTTTTTCGAAATATCTAGTAAGCCATGAACTTTTTCAAAAATCTGAAAGGCGCATATTTATGACCCCACAAAACTGCAATTCTTTCCCCATTTAACCGACTCTCTATCTCTAGTAGTTTCCGAGATACCCAGAGAGAACATCGTATAGGAAATAATCGTAGGAAATAATATCAGTTCTGACGCTAATAAAATGAACATTATAATTAGTATAAAATAATAATTTTTGTTGTTTAATTTTACTAATTTAAGTATCTTGACATACGGGGTACTCCGAAACTTTGGCAGCATTTTCTGCAGATAGAAAAGAATAAGTAAAAATGTTCGTTTAAATGTATGTCCTCAAATACTCCATTTTGGAGATAGAGGGTGTAGAAGATTCATTTTTGTTTCGATTTTTTCAAAATAATTTTTGAACTAATGTCGATGTTTGGATGAAAATTGTGCCTGGGAGTTTTTTGACATGAGAAATTTGATTTTCAGGTCAATATGACTCCTACTAGTGGAGGGTGCCACCTACATATTTTTTAACTGATTTGAAGAGTAATAACTTTTCATCCGACCTGTATAAAACTACTGAGTGAAAAAATATAGAATATCCGCTATTTTTTATTCAAAAAAGGCTTGATAGGAATCGCTACGATCACCCATTCTCAAGATATTTGAAATAGAAATAGTCGATTACTGACAAAAAATATAGATGTTGAATAGATAGTTATTTGACTGAAATTATATATCTGGGAACATTTTTTTTTAAATAATCATACTTTTTTCTCGACGAAATTATGATGAAACAGTAATAAATATGATAAAAACATTTCAAATTTATGTTTTCAGTCCAATAATAATCTTGTCAACATGTTCAATGTTTGTCAATGATGTCATGTATTGGTTATTTTGATTCCAAATCTCTCGAGAACCATTACTAACAGCGACTTTTACCAAGAGACTTTTTTAAATAGGAAATGACTGGAAAATCGAAATAAAAATGAAACTGCTACACCCTGTATCTCTGAAACGAAGCATTTTAAGACCTACATTTGTACGAACTTTTTACTTATTTTTATCTGCAGAATATGCTGCCAATGTTTCCAGAATGCAATTTGGACCAACCTGTATAAAGAAATGTGTTTAAGTTAAACTTTATAATTTCTTTAGAGTATAGTTTTCTTATTTTATGACCTAAAATTTTATTATTTCAGAGGAAGGCAGACCATGTAGAGCCATCTGTATGAACGGTGGGACATGTGTAAATGGCCAATGTAGCTGTGTAGCAGGATATACCGGAGAATTCTGTACAGAACGTATGAAATCATTTAATTATTGTTTAAGACACTTTATTTAAACTTTTTTTCTTCTTTTATGTTTATGCAGCTATTTGCGAGGAACCCTGTAAAAATGGAGGAAGGTGTATTTCTCCAGATAGGTGCGCCTGTTTGTATGGGTTTGCTGGCAATCACTGTGAAGTAGGTGTGTAAGTTTCCGTTTTTCATTATTTTTAATTAGTAAAATTAAATATAAATTGAAAAAATAATAAAAGTATATCATTAAATTGATATATTATATATTATATAATATAGTTATTTATGATATAAGTGCTAAAAGTGGTATCTTATTTTGAAGGGAAGCTCTTCGAACAAAATAAAATCACTTTTAGCACACATAACATACACTATTTTTTCTACAAACAAGTTTATGCTCGTATATATCAAGGTATTATTACTTTTACGTTAATGAATGGTTAATGAATAATTCATAATATGTCATTCTGAAATCAACTTAATTATGAAGTTTATGGTTGTTAGGGTAATTGAAAGATTCCATATCGCTTCAGTGTTAAAGTCTTTGAATAAGAAGACTAAGGAAGGAGCATATCAAAAATCTTAGGTACACCGCGATGGGCCTCAAATATGGCCGACTTAAATTCCGGTTTATCAGTGTCGTTCTAATTTTATTTAAAAAATATAAAACTATGATGTAGGGTAGACGTGGGGTAGACTCAATAATTTGTTGTTTTATTTTTCGTTGTGAATAAATGTTGGTAGTTATTAAAATTGTTATAAAAATATATAATTCTAATAAAAATAGATAAGTTATAATAAGTATTTATTAACACAAACATCCGATACGCTACTGAAGCAGGTAAGTCAAATTAACGTATCTAAATTCTTTGACATCTAATCTTTGACAAGTAATAAATAAAAGCTGAAATGCAAGAAAAATATATAATTTAGTTAATTTAAGTGAATTTCATAAATGATCGGTTTACTACACGTATGTATATTATATAGTCACTTACTAGCGAAAAGTTGTTCCATTATTTCACTCAATTTTTGCCGAGATCTACCGCACGCTACACAACCAACTATTTTATAGTCTTTTTCGATAAATCGCGATAGTGTCACTGTTAATTTAAGTTCTGCCACAATTTCCATCTAGATTTACTACCTTTATACAACTATCAGTAGTAGAATAAATAATAATTAACATAAAATAAGCTCCGTAAAGACTGACAAATCCACAAAATTTCAAATCAAATTCAAATGTGTCAAATGAATCGTCAAACAGAACTGTCAAGGATCCCCACCCTGGAGAGCTTTTATGGTGGCTTTTCCGTCCACCATGCATGAATACATGGATAGCATTATGCTCCTTCCTTAGTCTTCTTATTCAAAGGTTAAAGTAGATTATTTTCTTTTATCTATGGTATTAAAAGTAAATCGCGTGACTTACTAAGTAATGCTAAAAGTAAATGACTTTTACCATCAGTGACATAATGTCACATTTTAGCATCATTTTAGGCACTGACAGCATGCGTTAAAAATTACATTTTTACTGACCTTTGTAGAAAAAAGATTTTTCCTGCAAAAATTTTGAATATTAATTAAGATAATTTCAATTTTGTCTATTACAGATTACAGAACAGGACCTTGCTACACGGGAATAAGAGGACCATTATGCGTGAACCAACTGGAGGGAGTGGTTTGTACGAAAACGCTATGTTGCGCCACTGTGGGCAAAGCCTGGGGCCATCCCTGCGAACACTGTCCCACGCGACTCGAATGCGACACTGGATTTTTAAAGAATCAAAAGACAGGAGAGTGTGTTGGTAAGAAATATTTTAAAATAGGCTGATTATTTTAAATACATAGTTATTTTATTACAAGGACTTAATTTGCATTTTTTAAACTACTAAACATACTATTTTCAATTGTATAAAACCAAATCCAGTGAAACAGTGAGTTATCTCTGAAGTAGTTGTTAGCTATTAATAGTCGTTTTTTTTCTCATAAACTTAAAAACCTTTGTTTTTCCCTTCTTTTTAGATATCAACGAATGTGAAGCTATTCCCCATCTTTGCTCTGGTGGTCACTGCGTCAACAGTGTTGGATCCTTCACTTGCCAGTGTCCTCCTGGTCAGGCTAGGAATCCTCAGACCAACAGATGTGACGACAGGAACGAATGCGAAGACGATGGAATTTGTACAGATGGCGCTTGTGTCAATACAGTCGGTGGATTCTTCTGTCTTTGCAATCCAGGATTTATACAGAGTCAAGACAAGAAATACTGTATAGGTATGAAGAGAAAAATTAAATAACATTAGTTTGCTAAAAAATCATCAAAAATAGACAAAAAAATTGAACTGCTTAAAATTTAAAAAGTTTCTAATTTTTCTGTTGTTCCTGAGCTGTGTATTAGTGGTCCCAAATCATCATCATCATCATCATCATCGTTTTCAGCTTATTCAACCATTTCCAATTATGGTGTCGCCTCACTCACACACTCTCTTTATAGTTGGGTTCATTACTTGACGTCATTTTTAAAAGTGAAATCAATACATTTTAACATTTACAATAAAGAGTACAAAATGCATTCGGAAGTATAAGAAGAAAGTTCAAAGAGCTGTAAATAAAATTGAACGAAAAATAAATCTGTGCAATAGGGAGGGTGGTAACCCTTTCGAACCTGTACAGCATTAGAAAGTAGTTTGTAGAAGTTTATTTATTTATAATCACTACGATTAATATTATTCATATTATTAGATCGTACACTGAGATTTCAAACTCACAATAAAAAAGTTAAAAATAATATCTTCGAATTGCTGACTTGGATATTATTTATTTGAATCTTCCAATTGGCTCGACTTTCCTTATTCAACGTTAATTAGATCAATATTGTTGCGATGAATATAATTAGATTAAATAATTTAAAAAAAAACAGAGTCGGATTTGAAATTATTTTAAATAATAATAAATAGTCTTGTTGTTGTTAAAGTACCCAAAACAAAAAAAGTATAAAGTGTGGCATATCATTATACTCAGGAGACCGAGTTCTTTCAAAACCTGAAATAAAAAATGCAGATCCGTATTTAAAAAAAATAGTTTGCCTCTGTATCTCACAAATTATCAGCTAATTTGAAAATCTAAAAATACTATGAGATAGCCTTAATAAAGTGACTATGAATGTGCAATTAGTTTTTTGATTTTCTAAAAAGTAACGACAGGAAAAAATAAAACTGATTTTCAAAAAACCCGTTTTTTTTTAAAAAAAAAACAGCAATCCTTGTAATTTTTAAAACTTTTTTGATGACATCTTGGTGAAAATCCCAAGCACAACTTTACCCACGTATATTTAGCCATATCTATTACGGTTATCGAGTAAACCATACCAATGCTCGTACCCTGAATTTGTAGCAGCCTGTATTGCACCCTTTGTATTCTACTATTTCCAGGCATAGTGTTATGTTATTTATTAGAATGTCTTTTTTGATGACTAGTTTTTCTTCCAATTTCATTTAGTGATCTATTTTAATGCTGGTTGTACTTAATTTGTTGATTTTTGCTTGTAATTCTTCAGACAATTGACTATTGACAATTTGGATTCTGTTATCAACGAATCTTAGATGATTAAGATATTCTCCACATATTTTTAATCTTTTGTTTGTCCAGTCAATTAGTTGAATAACGAGAATATGAACTTTGAATTCTATATTTGTTTAATCAATGTATCCAGCTCGTGTGAACAAATTTTTGTACGAATTCACATTCAATGAAACTGCCAAATGAAGTGATTATTATCAAAAACCCCAAAAAAATGTTCAGGCTATTAAATATGAATTAATGTGTATTTGTTTCAATTTTAGATGGACGGCAAGGTTTATGCTATACTCATCGACGATCTGATGGGTATTGCAGAGACGAATTACAATACAGACTGTCCAAAAAGGATTGCTGTTGCGGACAGCATGTTGGACAAGGGTGGGGTGAAGATTGTGAGCCTTGTCCAGATTATGGAAGTGGTAAAAGATAATTTATTTTTTTAATTTTATTTTTTGTTTGACTTTCTAAAAAAAATAAAACGACTTTTTTCCATACAGATGATCACAGAAGACTGTGCTCCACCCAACCACCGTATCACGTGATCGAAAGCAAGGATTTCAACATCACCAGCCTACCAGGACCAGAGCCTCAGACCAAGCTGACCGGTACGACTTTGGTGGACGAGTGCATGCTACGACCTGACATCTGTCAACACGGGAAATGCGTGGATCTGGCGCAGGGATACGATTGCATCTGCGATCCAGGATTCAGGAAAGGAAAATCACAAGTGTGTGAAGGCTAGTGATGCAAATTTTTATTTTTGCTTTTTCGCATTTTCCTTTAATCAAACCAGTAACCGTTCCAATATATTTTAAAGTTAAAGACAAAACCTACCAAAGTTGTACTCACCTACTAACGATAAAATTTTCTACCGAAGCTTCTTCTAAACCTATTTACTAAGTTGGCAATATTGCTTATATACATGCTTTTTGATAAAAATATAATATTTTTATCTATCGAAATAAAAAAATAACTTACCGTCACTAAGAGTCCACTTTTGAACCAATATCTGAAACAAATAAAGAAATATTACTACACAAAATCGATACTATAACAATAAACCTCTAATTGGATAAAATATATCTAATTAAAAGTTTTGCATATCTAAAGAATTTTTTAATAAAATAAAAATCACATATTTTTTTATTATTACTCTGACTGTATATACAGCGTGTTGATTGTACACCAAATTGGATACTTTTAAAGAGAAACATCCTTTTCTATACGAGATAGACTAAAACTAATATCGGTGTCTGTAGCTCAATTTTGATCAAAAACATGATGATAAAAACCGCACATCGATATCTGTTACCTTTCGGAGTTAGGGGGTGTTTTTCAAAAATGCTGTTTTTTTAACAAATCGCTGTAACTTTTTTGCTATGGAAAATTTTGTATTTTTATGAAAACAATTCCAAAGCAACTTTTTACGCAGGATTTAATGGTTTAAGTATAATTTTATTAAAATTAATAACTTAAGAGTTATCAATAGATAGTTTTATTTTCTATATGGTGTATACAGGGTATTTTAAATTCAGAAAATAATTTAAAATTACCGTTTCAAAAATATTTTTTCTTCGAGATATAGAGTTTTTTAAAATTCGCTTACTTTGAATAAGTAGTCTTTTAGAAAAATGCTAGCTGTGACCAGCAAATAAAACGAAAATAATATTTGCAATGCAGAGATGCAGAATTTTATAACAATTTAAACTATATTTAACAATAACAACACATTTAAACTCTATATAATAACAATAGTAATAAATAGCAACATCAAGACATGAGATTTTGCTACAGGTGTTCGAAATGTCGACCGCCTTGTGCTATACACAGGCGGGACCGTTTCTGAACATTTCTCGCGGAATTCATTAACTCAGTGTGAGTAAAAGATACTCTAGCTTAACCTCTAAGTATTTATAATTCTTGTTTAGAGTATACGCGCAGTTTGAAATTAAGAACCTTTCATCTTCCACAAAGATAAAAATCCTTAGGCGCTAAGTCCGGCGGTCTCGACGGCCAATGGCTGGAACCTTGGTTAACTATACAATTATTCTCGAAATTGGCTACAAAAAATTGCTGATAACTTCAGCGTTGTGAGGTGCTATCTCGTCTTGCTGGAAAAATATGTTTTCGAGTTCCATTGGTTCCTCCAAAATTGAGCTCCAGATACCGATACTAGTTTTTTAAAAGCGTCCAATTTGGCCCACTCTGTACATTGAGTATATGTTTTGTTACTATGTCAATAGGCAGTTTCACCGATTCATTATTCACGAAAGACAGAAAATGGCGCTTGTGTTTACACGTTGAGTACATTCAGTTGGTTCAGAGATCTTTATGTCTGTGATCTTATAAGCATAAAATGTATAAAACAAAATTTAATCTTTTTATATTGAAGAATAATTATTTTTGAAGCCAATTTCTTTTAATATTTTCTCAAACGTTGGAAAAGTATAAGAAATACGAAAAAATATATATTTTTCACACTTCAATTTGAATTCATTGTTCAGATAAAATAAACAAAAGTAGTAGGAGTTTAAAATTTAAATGAAAGTATGAATGTACTGATCATGTTCACATTCTTACTTACACGTTTACTGTTATTCGTTCATTTTTGACTGATTCAGTTCTGAGTTTTTATTCCAAAATATAGAATAAGTTAATGAATTAACAAAGTAAAAAAATATACAAATTATTTAAATTTTTTTGACCTATAATTATTCAGATATCAACGAATGCAATGAAGGAAAATGCCTTAATGGCAGATGCTCGAACACCCTTGGAGGCTTCAACTGCCTCTGCCCTCCAGGTTTTGACGTCTCTCCCGATGGTACCATGTGCACTGATCACGACGAATGTGCCGAGATAGGCATGTGCACCAACGGCATCTGTATCAACATGGATGGCAGTTTTAAATGCCAATGCAAAAGCGGTTTCAAACTGAGCTCAACAGGATTCGCATGCATCGGTGAATGAAACAAAATAATAATTATTTTAGATAAATTATATTTTTATTTGTAGATATTGATGAATGTTATGAAAATCCAAGGATATGTTTGAACGGAAGATGTGAAAATACTCCGGGGTCCTATACATGTCAGTGTTTACCTGGATTTATTGAATCAAGCGATAAAACTTTTTGTATTGACATGGACGAGTGTTCTACCACAGGTAAATTTTACAGAAATAGAATATAGCGCAATTTTATTTTGTTTTATTTTATCCAGGAATGTGTGACCATGGAAAATGTATCAACATGGAAGGTTCCTTCAGGTGCGTTTGCGATTCTGGATACCGATTAGGATTAGATGGAAGACACTGTATGGATATAGACGAATGCATTAGTAATCCATGCCAGTTCGGCACTTGTTTCAACACCCCTGGAAGCTTTAGATGTGAATGTCACTCTGGATTCAGCCTAGGAGCTGATGGAAGATCTTGTTTGGATACTAGAAGAGATCTGTGCTATCAGGTAAGGTTACACTTTTCAGAAACATCAGAATATATTAAATTGTTTAAAGGAATATCGTGACGGACAATGTATCAATCCTTCAACAACTGCAGTGACGAAATCAAGTTGTTGTTGCTGTACCATCGTGACAGGGAAACCAATGGCTTGGGGACAGACCTGTCAACCCTGTCCAATGCCTGGGACAACGGATTTTGATCTCTTATGTCCTCATGGACCTGGTTGGTTTAATTTCAATTATTTTTTCAAGTTGATAAAATAATGCTTAAATTTTCAAAAAGGTTCGACTTTTGATGGTAATGATATCAATGAATGTGCCCAAAATCCGAACATATGTCAGAATGGAGCTTGCGAGAATCTTATTGGTACTTATAGGTGTATTTGTAATCCCGGCTATGAAGTTGATGAATCGGGGAAAATTTGTACTGATATCAATGAATGTGAAGTTGAAGCAGAGGTGGTAAGCATTTACATATTTAAGACCATTTTCTTTGAATTTCTTTTAAGTTATTTAAAAATAAACTCACGACTATGTCATTATAAAAACTCAGATTTCGTTTGTAGATTTGTGGCGGAGGTCAATGCAAAAACACTCCAGGAAGCTTTCAATGTATTTGCCCCACTGGAACACAACTGAATCCGAATATTTTTGTTTGTGAAGACATCGACGAGTGTAGGGAGCTTGGACCAGAAGCATGCTTCAATGGAGAATGCGTCAATGTTTTGGGGTCGTACAAATGCGAGTGTGAGCCTGGATTTGTCCTGGACAACACCGGAAGAATTTGTATAGGTAAGCAAAAAAATGTTCTTTTTTTCAGATATTAAACAATTTTTTTAATACATAATTTCAGATAACAGAAGAGGATCCTGCTGGACCAAACTTAATCATGGTCGATGCGAAAACAATCTTCCTCAACTCAGCAGGAGAATGGAGTGCTGTTGTTCTATCGGTGTAGCTTGGGGATCCCCGTGCGAAAGATGCAACAAGAACGATTGCAATGAGTGTAGGCACGGATATGCAAAAATTGACGGGAAGACTTGTACGGATATTAACGAATGTGATCTAAATCCTAATATTTGTAGAGGAGGTGGACTATGCGTTAATACTGACGGCAGCTTTACTTGTACTTGTCCACCTGGTTTAACTTTAGACGATACAAGTAAGTCTCTTGTCTAAGTTAGAAAAATATCGATAAGAAACGATAATAAAACTCACAATTTTTTTTCCATTGATATTTTCTCGAGTAACGAACATACTTGAAAATATTTGGTAGTACCATTTAAAATATTTCTCTGTACCTAGGAACTCAATGTTTGGATGTTAGAGAAGAACCATGCTTTACAAGGTACAAGCATGGAAAATGCACCAATCCTATCACAGGAGCCTTCCACAAGAATCTTTGCTGTTGCTCTTCAGTTGGAAAAGCCTGGGGTCATAAATGCGAAGCATGTCCTCGAATAGGATCAGCAGCATATTTAGAACTATGTCCCAAAGGATTGGGATTTTTGGATAGAAAAGATATTAACGAATGTACAGAATTTCCTGAAATGTGCCAGAACGGTCGATGTAGGAATACAATGGGAGGATACAATTGCAGATGTAACAAAGGATATGACTATGACGATGCAAAAATTAAATGCGTTGGTAAGAAATACGTAATTTAGATTTTTTTCCTGGATATATTTCTTGATACTACTCTCCGACTTAGATATTGATGAATGCAGTATAACAACAACCAATGTATGTGGTAATGGGGTATGTAAGAATACACCAGGTGATTTCTATTGTGAATGTCAAGAAGGATTTAGAACTCAGCCTCCAATGCAGACTTGTATGGATATTAATGAATGTGAAGAAATACCAGGTAAAAAGGCATAATTTATTTTATTATAAAAATATTGAGTAGTGATCAAGATTGAAAGAAGTCTAGTTGACTTATTTTTGTTCGATAATTTCTAAATCTTGACACATGCGAGTTTTTTTGGATCTTTTCATGATTTTTTAGTCTAAAGTTAAAAATAGTAAAATAAGGTTTGCAATAAAATAACAGATATAATATAATTAAGAAATATATGTTATTTAGGTCTTTGTAGAGGTGGCAGGTGCATAAATACAGAAGGTTCTTACAAGTGTGAATGTCCGGAAGGTCACGAATTGGCATCTGACAAGCAATCCTGCAAAGACATTGATGAATGTTCAAGGACAAGCGGAATATGCTCCAATGGAGTCTGTGAGAACATGATGGGAACCTATCAGTGTATTTGCAATGAAGGATATCAACAAACTGGTCAAAAATCACATTGTGAAGGTTTGTGCATTAATGTTAACCTAAATATTTACTAATGAAAAATAAAATATTCCTTTTGGGTGTCGTAAGTTATTCTAAAGCATGTTTCTTGTAGATATTGATGAATGTGACACTGAACCATGCGACGACATCTGTCTAAACACACCAGGAAGCTATTCATGCTCTTGTGGGTATGATCTCGATTGAAAACACGCAACCAAGAAGATTAATCAAAGAATTTCTTTACAGGCCAGGTTATCAACTCAATTTGGATGGAAGAACATGCTCAGATATCGATGAATGCAAGAACACAAGAATCTGTAATGGTGGAAAGTGCTCCAACACTATTGGAAGTTATATTTGTCACTGTATTGAAGGTTTACTGGCTGGACCTTCAGGAACCTCTTGTTTAGGTATGGTATTAGGTTTAGAGAAATAAATAAATCAAACCAAATGTTATATAATATGTAATAAAGCTCCTCTATGTCTACATATTTCTCCGAAACAATAGGACTTAAACGAGGCCAATAAAAAGTATAATATTTCTGTTAAATTTTAGATATCGACGAATGTAAACAGAACCCACACATATGCGGTGCAGGAGAATGTACTAACACCATAGGTTCGTTCCAATGTAGATGTGAAGAAGGGTATTCCGTCAAACCAGATGGTGGTCAACAGTGTACCGATGATGACGAATGCTATCTAGGAACGTATAACTGTGATGAGAATGCAGATTGTATCAATAACCCTGTAAGATTATTCTTCTAAATTATATAGGTTTATTTCTCTTTTACATTGCTATACTTCATAAAATCTCGAATCTACCACACGTTGCATATCAGGAAGGTTTTCATTAAATTTTTTTTTATTTTGTTAAACGGTTTTCAAACATTTTTGCAGATGAAAATATATATTATAATAAACGTATCTTAACAATTTTACTCACATGTACGAAATTATTCATGAAGTTTATAAATCTTTGTCTTAGGGTTCCTACCAGTGCAGATGTTTAGATGGTTTCACAGGAAACGGTATCAGCTGTAGGGACATCAACGAATGCTTAACAAATAACGGAGGATGTGATCAAAATGCTCAATGCATCAACAACGATGGCTCATTTAGATGTGAATGTGATGCTGGGTAAGATATATCATCAACCCTTTAAACTTGTGTTTCGTTAATTTACTTATTTCGTTTTGAGCCATTTCTGGCTCCAATTCAATCAGCAATCGACACGAAAGAGAATTAAAAAATATTGACTCAAAACTGACAACTAAAGAGACAGCTTTATTTATTTGTCAAATTACATAGAAACCAACGCCAACGCAGCACAATATTTTTTTTACTCGTAATTTAATAAATTCCTTGAAATAATAATTTCTGAATATTTTTTAAAACGTAACTCGCTATGGAAAAAAATATTCTTAACTTCTTTTTAAACTGTTAGGCGTTAAACAAAAAAATCAACACTCAATACCATATCACTAGGAAATAAAAAGTTAGTTTTTCGGAACCGGTTTTGATTATTCGTCGTGATACGCGTGCGTAGTGAGTCTATTGTTTTCCAAGCGAATCAAGTGAATCCCCAACTCCGTTATATAGCCCGAAAGACGAACGAAAAAAATTGATTTCGAATATATTGAAGAGTACCTTAAAATCCTCTAGCCCTGAGCTTATACCATCCACATATTACATAATGATCAAAACACATTACCACTTTTTAATGGACACGTATTAGATGACATCCAAACTGTAATGGATACATATAAAGAACTCCAAATCGATACATTTTATAAAAAAAAAACATATTTTTGTGTTTGTAGATATTCTGAAAATGATTAGTTTTATTTTATGTGGTTCTAGTCTTATTAGTACTTACAATAAATATTAATACCTAATATAGGTAATAAGAAAATTGCCCAATCGGAAATACAATAAAATTTATATTAACATTAAAAAATAAGTACCTAAATTGAATTTTAGCTGTCTTGACTTGAAGATAATTATTTTGATTTAAGTTATTTTGCCGACTTAACACGCAGATCATTATGTTTATCAAAAATATAGACTTAAATCATAAAAACGACTTAAATTATTAAATTATATTAATATTGAAGGATTTACAAAAATGGATTGGCTTGAAAGAAAATGATTTAAGTCATAGACTTAAGATTAAAATCATTTAACTTTATGTTGAAATTAACTTATGATTTAAATCATTTTGATTTTAGAAATGATTTAAGACTTAAGATTTAGACTTAAGTCTTTTCGAAACTGACTTGTTGCAGCTCTGATGAATACCTCCATCTATCCATTAAAAAAATCCTTTATATTTGTATCGCCATGTTATTTGCCATATTTTTCTAAAAATTTTGCCTTTTCCACACAGATTCAAAGGAGACGGGTACACTTGCACTGACATCGACGAATGTACCAACGACCCGAGCCTGTGCGAAAACGGGCAATGCCTGAACTACCCGGGTTCGTTCAGGTGCGAGTGTGAGATGGGCTTCATGCACCCGAACGAGGGCAACGAGCAGGCCTGTGTCGGTCAGTAAGAGTCAGCTCTCGAAGAAAGAAATAACTTCATTAACATCTCCTCCTGTACATAACTAACTCCATACCTTTTAACACATATATACGTAGAATTATAAGGATAGAATGTAGAAACGTGTGTCTAACAGAAGCTACTAACATCGATGGAGAGAGAGGCTTACAGTGCTTTATCCTAGTAGGTATCTAGGAGCGCTATTGGTACAGGTTGGTCCGAATTGCATTCCAGAAACTTCGGCAACGTATTCTGCAGATAAAAATAAGTAAAAAAGTTCGTATAAATTTATGGCCCAAAATGCTTGGTTTCGGAGAAACAGGCTGTAAAAATTTCATTTTTATTTCGGTTTTTATTAGGCCCAAAGGATTAGGATTTTTTACTTATTTTTATATGCAGGATATACTGCCGAAGTTTCCCGAATACATTTCAGACCACCCTGTATATTTTGTATTTACTGAAAGGCATGCGTATTAAACTATTTGCTTAATATTGTATTAAAAAGTTTTAATTTTGATTATGAAAGACAGCGGAATGTGTAGAATTACTACGTTTTTTTGGAATCAAAATAAGTTCATTCCACACAATTCACCTCTATACAAAAGTGCTTCGTTTGTTTGTTAGAGGCCATCAATAAAAAATAAACCCGAACGTTAATTAATTTAAAAATTATTAATTCTTTAAAGTTTTTTTTATGAAGCTTATTGTCGAATATAATTTGTGATATATAAGTAACATACAATTCCATATTTTAGCCAACTAGATTGTTAGAGTATAATAGCACCCATCCCCTACTCTTTCTTGATTTTTGGGAAAGTTAAATGTTAAAGCACTTGCCAATATACAGGGTTGTTCACCACATACGACACGGAGTATTGTAGCTAAACGATTATATTTTTACAAATTTCAAGTTTTGGGTTCGATGAAGGACTATTAGAGGTACAATTTAAAAATAATTTGACAAGATACAGAGTGTCTCAAATAAGTAAAAAATATCAAAGTTGTATTTTTTTAAATGGAACACCCTGTATATTATTACATTTTTAGTTTCTACGATTAAAATAAAGGTACACTTGATTAAGGTTTATTATACTTAAACCTTACCGTTCTTTGATATTTTTTACTTATTTGGGACACTCTGTATGTTGTAAAATTATTTTTAAATTGTACCTCTAATAGTCCTTCATCGAACCCAAAACTTACAATTTGTAAAAATCTCATCGTTTAGCTACAATACTCCGTGTCGTATGTGGTGAACAACCCTGTATATAGACACCCAAAATCTCATTCAAATCGGAATAACGGTTCTTTTCTTAAAATATCTGTAAAAATGTGTTTATTTTTTTAAAGTTTGATTTCCTCTAACGGACTAACAAGGCATTTTTGTATAGAGGTAAATATTGTCCAATGAACTTATTTTGATTCAAAAAATACGTAGTAGTTCTATGTCCACGGAATATTAGGACATCCTGTATATTAAGTAATTATTATCAGGTAGCTAATAGTTAATTTTGAAGTTTAACTTGATATAATGTCATTTTAACAGAACGTTAATATATACCGTTTTTGAAAAGTCCAAAATATACGAGTTATTTTACTTTGAAAATAAAAAAATTAAATAAAATAAATCATTTTTTTATCAAAAGATACTTAATTTTTAACATTATTTTCTAGGATCGAAATATACCACTTCACATATAAATAAGGGTCATAATGTATATCCGTTTCTAGCAAATAATATTAGTTATATTATACTTAAATTCGTATCTTTATTAACAATAATTTAGAAAGTTCTTTAAAAAATGATATACATCAGCCTATTTTTCAAAGATATCAACGAATGCGACATGTTCAACAACCTCTGCGTCTTCGGGAGCTGCGAAAACACACTCGGCATGTTCCGATGCGAATGTCACGAGGGCTACAAACTTGACGGCTCAGGAGGCAACTGTACTGACATTGACGAGTGCGAGAGTCCATTATCATGTCTGTATGGAGAATGCAGCAATACAGAAGGCAGCTTCAAGTGCGTCTGTCCACCAAATTACGAACTGGTAGCAGAAGGAAACGCCTGCATAGGTATGTATATTTCTCCAAGTCTAGATAACAGAAACCTAAGTTCTTAATTTGTTGTAGACAGAAGAACATCGAGATGTTATTTGGAAGTACAACCTGGAGGAAGATGCGAAGGACCCACTGCAGATTATGTTACTAAAGCTTCATGCTGTTGCTCTGTGGGTAAAGGATGGGGACCCAGATGTGAGCTATGTCCTGCACCACACAGTGAAGAGTATCAACAACTTTGTCCAGGAGGTCTGGGATATAAACCAAACGACATTACTGTAAGTTAACCACATTATTTTTTTTTAAGTTGGTTCTTTTTATCCTCTTGATTTTTAGGTAGTACTAGAAGATATTAACGAGTGCGAAGAGCATGAAAATATCTGCGAGAATGGACATTGTACCAACACTTTTGGCAGCTTTATGTGTTCATGTAACGAAGGATTCAGACTGGACAGCACTGGCTATACTTGCGTTGACATCAATGAGTGTGCTGAGAACCCTTACATCTGTAGAGTTGGAGAATGCGTCAATGAACAAGGAAGATATTACTGTCAGTGTCCAGAAGGCTACATGCCTCTTCCAGGAAGAAGTGAGCATTGCACTATATTTTTACCAAATTAACATTAATTTTAAACTCTTTTTTTGTGAATACCAGGAGAATGTGTTGACATGCGCAAAGATATATGTTATCTGAACTACAGTAGATGGCAGTGTTCAACTCCGATGACTCAGAATCAGACGAAGAAAGTGTGTTGCTGCTCGATGGGTCAAGCTTGGGGCCAACCATGCGAACCATGTCCAATCCAAGGCACCAGTAGGTATAAATAAAAGAATTACTTTACTAAGATCAGTCCTTGAAATTTTTTCGTGGCCGGTAGAGGCTCAATGCCAAATGTGTCTGCTGCTACCCCGAGAATGCCGGGTTCCATTCTTCATCTTTTAAATAAATATATGTATGTTTAAAAATGGAGAAATGAATGGCAAACCACTTTGAGTATATTTGTATAGTATAGACTCTCGAATAATGTCTTTCGGATTCAGCGATAAACTGTAGGTCTCGTGTGCTTGAAAAAAACTGATGACACACATCACAAGTACAGGATGTCCCATTTTCTTGTGTTTTACAGGGTTTCTCGCTTGTGAGTACGCAAAGATGCGGTTTTCACATCACATCAGTGTTGCCGGAATTGAAGCATTTCCTTCAATATGAATTTTACAGTAAAATTTCGTCGGAGATTGAAAGGCTGAAGTATTTTTATAAAAAAAAACAATATGAAGGTTTTTATAATAAGGTATAATATAAAAATTGTTAAAATATGGTAGTAGGAGTATTTATCGTTTTTCCTACATATACTTTTTCACTTTAACGGTGGTTAAGTAAGGATGCCTGAGTTTGGGATACCCTGTACATTATTTCTTAATTTTATTTACCTTGCTGCTTTTTAGGTAGGGCGTCCCAGAAATAAGTGCAAGTATTTTAAGAGGTGGTAGATCTGGTCAAAAGAAACATTTTTTTACCGTTTTTTTTTACATTTTTTTTGCCGTAAAAAAAAAGTCCAAAATAACCGAGTTATTTTACTTTGAAAACCCAAAAAAAAAATATTTTTTGCTAAAATTTTGAGAATCACCGGATTTTCTTTCATGTAAATTTAAGCTACTACCTATGTCGCCATATCATCAAGAAATTATGTTTTTTAACTTAAAACTAAACTTTTTTTTGCAAAAAACCTCATAGGCTTGTTTCTAATGCCAAAATATACTACCAGTTAAAATACTTACACTTATTTCTGGGACACCCTGTATAATAATATTTTCTATACTTATTTTCATGAGCAAGGTATGCATTGTAACTTGTAAAATAGACGGCCGCTTTAAATTAGGTAATCAAAACATTCGAATAATTTATTTGACGTCCAGTTTTGGTTATGGGCTATTCCAGGCTAGTTTCTGTGCGTGAAACTATTGCACAAGTGCAAAATATCAATAACTTTAATTCACAGCGTGTTATCTACAAGTGCACAAGTTCATTCTCAGTACAGATAACGCGGTGAAAATCAAAATTTTGTGGTTAAATTACATTAAATAAAATAATAGTGGTACTAAACCAGGTTGATTAAATCAATAATTAATTTTTAAGGTTGATTTATGTTAAGAAGTTAAATAATGCATTTTTTTAACATATTTATGAAAATAAGGATAGGGTATACAGTATGTTCCCGGATTGTCTTTACAAAAGGAAAAACTTTTTTATTATTGATATTTTGAGAAAAATGCATTCTCCATAAAAATGGTTGCTTGTTCTAAGATGGTTAATCTCGTTTATATTTTCCCAATTTTCCATACCGTTTTAGGGAAAATTACGAAAAACATGAAAATATTGGTGAATTTTTTCCAAAGTCCCGTAAAAATTATTCATAGAATTTTAATTAACGTCATATATTTTGTTGTTTTAACATTTTAAGGAAGCACAACATTTATTTATGTTAATATAGGTATAGGCATTTTTTAAAATTTATTTAGTTCAATACTACGGAAAGGGTGATGATAGTTATCGGAAAATCTGATACTTTAACAACCTCAAAGAATATGACGTTAATCAAAATTATTAATAACCATCTATCAAAGAATGAAATGGATTGATATTACCATAGAAACGCCTTTTGATTCTTAGGACTAGGAAAATTCAACAATATTTTCATGTTTTTCTTAACTTTCTCTAAAACGAAACGGTATGGAAATTTGGAAAAGTATAAACGGGATTAACCATTTTAGAACAAGCAAAAAATGTTATAGAGAATGCATTAAAAAAGTTTTTCTTCTTGTAAAGACAATCCGGGGACATAATATAGAGAGATATTTTAGAAAGGGCACAAAATAATCCAAATAAAATAAAAAATGACAGCTTCCAGCCTAGTTACGCTACTGGATGCCACTTGAAAAACTCTATGGGATACAGTTTTCACCTTTTCGACAAATAAAAAGCTAACCGAGATACAAAGGGGGGTCGAAAAACGCAAAAATATCAAATTCACCCTATATTTCAGAAACTAAGATGGCTAGGACAAATCTGTCTGTAGCATCTTTAGTCTCATCCAGTGATATGAAAACCGTATCTTTGCATCTCAACTCATAAACGAGACACACAAAAATGGAACACCCTGTACATAAGACAGATAGAAAAAAAAAACTGACTGATCGCATAGTATTTTAATTATAATCTAGTTTATTTATATTAAGAGGCACACTGTTATTTTAGGTGATCATACCTCTCTATGTGGAGGGACTCCAGGTTTTGTTGTCAACCCAATGACAAACAAGTCAATCGAAATAAACGAATGTGAGCTGATGCCAACTATGTGCAATCACGGCCAGTGCATGAATACACCAGGCAGTTTTGAGTGTATGTGTAATAGAGGATATATTTATGACATCAACTCGCATCAGTGCATTGATGACAACGAATGTAATAGAAACCCGTGCGAAGGAAACGCTCAATGTGTTAATTTACCCGGGAGTTTTGAATGTAAATGCCCCGAAGGATATAAGCATGGGTCCTCATTTATCGGTAACATTTTCAATTAAATAAATATTTTAATTTAATACTATTCAACTGTTTTAGACTGTATCGATGTTAATGAATGCATAGAACGACCTCAGGTATGTCAAAATGGCGAATGCAAGAACTTACAGGGTAGTTTTCAATGTCTTTGTGATACTGGATATAGACTTACACCATCCAGAGACACATGCGTGGATATTGGTAAGTATTCTATTTAAAAAATCTTGGATACGATTCTAAATGTTATAATTTTGAATTACCGTCTCTTTAAAACAGCAACAGAAAATGCTTTTTTCTTACAGATGAATGTATAAGACATCCGAACATTTGCAATAACGGAACTTGCATCAACCTGATTGGTAGTTACAAGTGTCACTGTAACGTTGGTTTCAAACTGAGCAACACCAATGACTGCGTTGACATAGATGAGTGTCATATGATGCCCTATTTGTGCAGGAATGGCCGGTGCAGGAATAATCTGGGATCGTTTTCCTGTGAATGTACTTCTGGATACACTTTGACAACCGACAAACATAATTGCAGAGATATTGATGAGTGTCATGAGGTATTTAATAGTTTTATTTTATCTGTATACACAGGATGAGTGGACGAGTCTTAAATAAGTGCAAATATTTTCAGGACTGGTAGATCTCGATAAAAAAACCATATTTACCCTTTGCCGTTTTTAAATAAATCCAAAATGACCGAGTGATTTTTTTTTGAAAATTAAAAAAAATAACATTTTGAGAACCACTGGATCTTTCCTGGATTTTCTTTCTTGTAAATTTAATCTACCACCTATATTGCCATATTATAAAGAAGTTATGTTTTTCACCTAACAAAACAATTCCGAAATTTCAGAAATTTTTTTAAAAAAATTCCAAATTTTGAAAAAAAATTGTTTGCAAAAAAATACTACCTCTATAAATATTTGCACTTATTTAAGACTCACCCTGTATATACCTATTATTTTTCCCTTTGATTTGTCCCTTTGAATAAGAAGACTAAGGAAGGAGCATAATGTTATCCATGTATTCATGCATGGTGGGCGGAAAAAGCACCATAAAAGCACTCTAGGGTGGGGATCCTTGACAGTTCTGTTTGACGATTCATTTGACACATTTGAATTTGATTTGAAATTTTGTGGATTTGTCAGTCTTTACGGAGCTTATTTTATTTTATTTATTATTTATTCTACTACTGATAGTTGTATAAAGGTAGTAAATCTAGATGGAAATTGTGGCAGAACTTAAATTAACAGTGACACTATCGCGATTTATCGAAAAAAACTCTAAAATAGTTGGTTGTGTAGCGTGCGGTAGATCTCGGCAAAAATTGAGTGAAATAATGGAACAAATTTTCGCTAGTAAGTGCCTATATAATATACATACGTGTAGTAAACCGATCATTTATGAAATTCACTTAAATTAACTAAATTATATATTTTTCTTGCATTTTAGCTTTTATTTATTACTTGTCAAAGATTATATGTCAAAGAATTTAGATACGTTAATTTGACTTACCTGCTTCAGTAGCGTATCGGATGTTTGTGTTAATAAATACTTATTATAACTTATCTATTTTTATTAGAATTATATATTTTTATAACAATTTTAATAACTACCAACATTTATTCACAACGTAAAATAAAACAACAAATTATTGAGTCTACCCTACATCATAGTTTTACATTTTTTAAATAAAATTAGAACGACACTGATAAACCGGAATTTAAGTCGGCCATATTTGAGGCCCATCGCGGTGTACCTAAGATTTTTGATATGCTCCTTCCTTAGTCTTCTTATTCAAAGATTTGTCCAAATTACATAACCTATATAGTACCTATACATGGAGTTCCTTAATGACATGCTAATATTTAAGAAGGTGATTCTTGGACCTATTCTAAGGGAAAAACTTCATAGGAATATTTGTCCTAAAGATCTTAACTATTTAGATACAGGGTGGTAAATTTTTCTATTTTTTTTCAAATATCTCTGATGGTATATTTGATACACGTCTTCCAGGCATCAAAATGCTTATTTTGATATACAAAGAAATGTTTTATTTCTTAATTTCCTTCCAGCCGGTGCAGAAATGATTTCTACACAACAGTCACCACATAATATTTTCAGAGATTTAACCCGGAAATAAACTGAGTTTAATTTTTTAAGCAAAAACTATGCGTCGGACGAAAAAAATTAAGAGAAAAAAATGTTTAGAAATGAATAGATATTTTTTGAAAATAATTTTTATTTTAAGAGAAGTCAGTGGTGCATCACTTTTTTCTCCAAAAATATCCAATGTAAAACCCGTATGGACGGCACTGGTTGAAATAAATAAAATTCTTTGTACACCAAAAAAACTATTTTGATGCATAGAAGACGTGTATCAAGTTTCATAAAGATTTCCTTCGAAAATCGACAACTATGAAACTATGATCCCTTCCCGGACACAAACGGTACATTGTAAAACAGGAAATTGTAGAGAGAAACAAGCCCTATAACATAGGATACAACATTTTAATGAACAGTGCTTTCCATAAAATCAATAAAATGAAAAATATACGAAATAATATACATGTACTGATTTCTTTCGAAAATCGACAACTATGAAACTATGATCCCTTCCAGGACACAAACGGTACATTGTAAAACAGTGTAGAGAGAAACAAGCCCTATAACATAGGATACAACATTTTAATGAACAGTGCTTTCCATAAAATCAATAAAATGAAAAATATACGAAATAATATACATGTACTGATTTCTTTCGAAAATCGACAACTATGAAACTATGATCCCTTCCAGGACACAAACGGTACATTGTAAAACAGTGTAGAGAGAAACAAGCCCTATAACATAGGATAGAACATTTTAATGAACAGTGCTTTCCATAAAATCAATAAAATGAAAAATATAAGAAATAATATACATGTACTGATTTCTTTCGAAAATCGACAACTATGAAACTATGATCCTTTCCCCGACACAAACGGTACATTTTGAGACAGTAAATTGTAGAGAGAAACAAGCCCTATAACATAGGATACAACATTTTAATGAACAGTTCTTCCATAATACGTACATGTACTGATTTCTTTCGAAAATCGACAACTATGAAACTATGAACCCTTCCCGGACAAACGGTACATTGTGAAACAGGAAATTGTAGAGAGAAACAAGCCCTATAACATAGGATACAACATTTTAATGAACAGTGCTTTCCATAAAATCAATAAAATGAAAAATATACGAAATAATATACATGTACTGATTTCTTTCGAAAATCGACAACTATGAAACTATGATCCCTTCCCGGACACAACGGTACATTGTGGGACAGTAAATTGTAGAGAGAAACAAGCCCTATAACATAGGATACAACATTTTAATGAACAGTTCTTTCCATAATACGTCCATGTACTGATTTCTTTCGAAAATCGACAACTATGAAACTATGAACCCTTCCCGGACAAACGGCACATTGTGAAACAGGAAATTGTAGAGAGAAACAAGCCCTATAACATAGGATACAACATTTTAATGAACAGTGCTTTCCATAAAATCAATAAAATGAAAAATATACGAAATAATATACATGTATTGATTTCTTTCGAAAATCGACAACTATGAAACTATGATCCCTTCCCGGACACAAACGGTACATTGTGGGACAGTAAATTGTAGAGAGAAACAAGCCCTATAACATAGGATACAACATTTTAATGAACAGTTCTTTCCATAATACGTCCATGTACTGATTTCTTTCGAAAATCGACAACTATGAAACTATGAACCCTTCCCGGACAAACGGCACATTGTGAAACAGGAAATTGTAGAGAGAAACAAGCCCTATAACATAGGATACAACATTTTAATGAACAGTGCTTTCCATAAAATCAATAAAATGAAAAATATACGAAATAATATACATGTACTGATTTCTTTCGAAAATCGACAACTATGAAACTATGATCCCTTCCCGGACACAAACGGTACATTGTGGGACAGTAAATTGTAGAGAGAAACAAGCCCTATAACATAGGATACAACATTTTAATGAACAGTTCTTTCCATAATACGTCCATGTACTGATTTCTTTCGAAAATCGACAACTATGAAACTATGAACCCTTCCCGGACAAACGGCACATTGTGAAACAGGAAATTGTAGAGAGAAACAAGCCCTATAACATAGGATACAACATTTTAATGAACAGTGCTTTCCATAAAATCAATAAAATGAAAAATATACGAAATAATATACATATACTGATTTCTTTCGAAAATCGACAACTATGAAACTATGATCCCTTCCCGGACACAAACGGTACATTGTGGGACAGTAAATTGTAGAGAGAAACAAGCCCTATAACATAGGATACAACATTTTAATGAACAGTTCTTTCCATAATACGTACATGTACTGATTTATTTCGAAAATCGACAACTATGAAACTATGAACCCTTCCCGGAGACAAACAGTACATTGTGAAATAGGAAATTGTAGAGAGAAACAAGCCCTATGCGTCGAAACAACAAAAACCATTCGTGACATAAACTTTGTTATTACTGATATCGGAGATGGAGAACAAACCTCCATAAAACCGTCTTAGATACTGGCTTTTGTCAAAGCCCTGAGACTGTATGATGAGTTATAACTCAAGAAAGGCGGACACAATAGATCGCGGTGATTATCTTCCCCCTCACATACAATATACTGTCATGAAATATAACTATTCTCTCCACAGTAATGAGACACTGTCTTGCTGGGTCCGTGATATATTATTTCATGAAGTTCTCATTTATTTTAAAGTTAATTAAAATCAAAAGAAAAAAAACCCTGTAAACAAATTCTATGCACAGAACAAATTCCCTTACAAAACTTTCTTAACTATCTCCATCCAGTCGACAAAAAGTAAACACGACACGTCAAGCTCGGCTTTATTTAATCCCTCAACTAAAATGATAATCTAATACTATCTGAGAGTTACGACGCTAAAGCAGCTTAAGTCTTTTGTAGATAGTTGCCCCGTAATTAACTGGCATCAAGCTTTTAACCCATTTTAGAGCCACCTTTCTTTCGACAATATTAAAAGTCCTCTTGGCCAACTTCACTGAAATAATGGAACGCTTGGCTGAGAGGAGAAATAAGAGTGGCTCGATTGGAACTTAAAGGGTCTTTAATTTAAGGTAACATTAAAGGAACCCTTTATATTTGTGTTTAATGAGTGTTTCGAGTAACAGGTTCCTGAAGAAAGGCAGAGTATTTCACTATTTTCAGAAACAGAAAATATGATATCAAGTTCAATTTTCTCCAAAAAACTCCTATGGGTATTTCGCCACTGTAAAAAAATCTACAAAATAAAAAAGTAATTTTTTGTAAATACTGCTGCGTTAATTTAACGGAGACTAATTGTCAGCAGTGGCTTACTAATAAACAAATTTGCCTAACGGACAAAAAATGCTTAACGTTTCGGAAAGTATATCTCTTTACATCGTCGGAAGAAAAAAAAACCAAGAGTAAAGAAAAAACTATTTAAAATATCTAAATGCAACTATTCGAGAATGATTTAGTTTTTTAAACAGATACGTTTACAAAAACCGTTGACGTTTTGTTAAAATGACATTTTATTAATCCAAAAAAATCCTTTATAGGTATTTCGCCACTGCACTGCAAAAAAATAATAAAAAAATGTATGCCACATAGGCATAGATAAATGCAACAAGTTTAGATTGGAAAGCCCGTAAAAATTTTGGGTCGCAAAATTATTTTGGGTCGCGACCGTTATACGCGATCTGGCGCTGCTATAGCGGTCGCTAAGAACAACGGCAAAAACAAACAGAAATAATTTTCTTTTGTCAAAGTCAGAATTTATATGGTGAAATTTTGATAAAATAATTTAGTATACACTAAAAACACGGTATGTCGCTAGTGGTAGGAAAAATAATTTTTAGAGGTTACTAGTTTATTTGGCTGCCTGTGATATGCATATACAGGGTGCTTCCTAATTAATCTAAAAAATAAAAAATCGTTAGAAAACGAATTAAGGCGGGCTCTTAATAAGTATATTTATTTTTTTCTGGACAACCGTTTGATGAACAAGAAAAACGCAAAAGATCAATTTTCCAGTCAAGAAAAAAATATTGCCAGTCAAGAAAAAAATATATTTTCTTTAAAAAAGCAGTGGTGTACCATTTATGTTAAGCAAAAAAATCGATTTTTTTTAATTTTTAACACCCCGTAGATCAGAAAGGAAGTACTTTAGACCTAATGGTTATATAAAAATAGTTTTAAGAACACATGAGGAATCACACCATATTTTTTTAGACTAATTAGAAAACACCCTGTATATTGTCAACTTGACAATGACTGCTGATAAATCAAAAAATACCTTTTCAGTGAAAAAAGCCTGATTTTCGCAGGAAAAATTTTGATTTTTATTGAATTTGGGCCTGCGTTTGCAAATACTCGTTTGTTTTTAAATTTTCTATCTATCTAAATTTTAAATATGATAGTCAGAAATAGTTTTATTATTTATTAACTGTAAAAATGGTGTTTTCATGTTGTGTTGCATCTTGCAAAGAAACTAACAAAACTGCAGACATGTACGTGTTTCCAAAAGACGATCAGGTATGTATCTTAGATAAAAGAAAAATATATGGTATGTATTCGTTGTTTGATTTTTTTTCGTTCGCTTTAAAATCTATAAATCTCGGTCTATTCATTAGACAGCCAGTCGACTTACGATGATTTACATGAAACTCTGTAAAATAAATAAAAAATAAATTGTAAAATATATATATATTCTTATGTTTTATTAAAGTTACTCTGATATACTAATATATCAGTGTAACTTTAAAAATAAATCCTTTGAATTCAAATATAAACAAAAAAAAACATTTACAGCAGAAAAGGCGAAGGCGCTGGGGTAAACGTAGTCTCCACTAAAAACACGGAAGGGCGCTTTGACCCAAAATTTTACTATTAAGTTTCATATCTATCTTAATAGTAGATTATTTTCTTTTATCTATGGCCCGAATCTTCAAAAATCATAATAATCTTCAAAATCTAAACCGCTCTCACTAAAGAAATTCCGAAAAATGTTTATAGCGTCCATTTTCAAAGTAATTATTGCTACTTTGTGAGTTTAATTCAAGTTTTATTTACTCCAACCGGTGATAATTGTCAAAAAGTGGCATTAAAAACTTAAAAAGCTGTGCTGTGAACTGCAAAAACCATCGTGGATCGTGGTATAACGTCGGTTTCCAATGTTTCATAGGTATTTCATACATGCCTCCTTATATAAAATAAAGTTTCTTGTATGCAACACACTGTATTTTATTTATAATATATAACGAAAATAATAATAAATTTGAATAAACAATATTTGGCGATATCATTCCGGAAAAAGCCGAACCGCTCCGAAATTTTCAAAAGTTTTGAATCGCGACCGTTGCATGAATAGCGCCAAATAGTGTTTACATTTTCCTTATGGGCACTTTCCAATCTAAACTTGTTTCACTTATCTATGCACATAGGTATAGACATTTTTTGACATTTTATCAAGTTAACCTTCAAAACCACCTGATAACAATTACTTACTTAATAATGTAAAACCAAAAAGCTTCAAACTTATTTATAACTTACTAGTTGAAGCCTGGCGCATCCGCCATGACATCAGAAAAAAAAATACTTTTTATGTAAATGAAAAACAAAAAATCCGGCGACGACAGTTTTTAGAAGAGCAAATTAGCTATCTTTTAGTAGAAAAAGCAACTTTCTAGAGCAAGTCGTTACTTCAGTAGAGACGACACAGATAAACATTAGCATTTTATATATGTAGATTTTTCATTTTTACGTATATTATGTTTATTTATGTTATGTCTTTAAAATCAAAGAAGCGATTGCCATACAATTTTATTTAAAATGTAGCAAGTTTTTTTTACTTGATAATATTATTACAGTTGAGGGTTGGTGTTACAACAGCAAAATATAACACTAATTCACAATACACCAAAACACTTTGCACTTGCACTGGACGCGCGTCAGCAGATGTATAGTGTGTGTAGATGTGTAGATATGTAGATATAGAAAAGATAAATTTTTACTTAATTATTCACGTGAGTCACGCTTGTATGTTTGTCAGTGGCGTAACAACAGACTCACGGGCCTGTGTGCAAAAATTTTACCGGGCCCCCTATTACACCTACATATTTCAATACTTATATACTAATCTGAATAATATGCACTCGTATTTTAGGTTAGAAATAACATTATCAAATTAATTTTTATATAGTATTATTTATTACTGCAACACAGAATATGTAACCCCAAACATATAAAATATCAAATAAATAAAAAAAAATAAAACCAAACCAAAAAACAACAACAAAACTAACTAAATTAAAATAAACAATGTAAATAGGAACATGAACATGTTATAATTCTTTTTTCCTTGCTTTAGTATGGGCGAAAGTTGACACGTTGCAAGTTCATTTTCTATTGAAATAATTGCCAAAGCTGATAACCGTTTTTCGTCCATAGTATTTCTTAAACAATTTTTCACAAGCTTTAATTTGGAAAAAGATTTTTCAGCCGGGTGAGAAAAATATGACACGCTGTTAAAATCTCGCTGAAACTAGAAGACGATGAAAGGTTTTTAATTAAATTAAATTCAGTGGTTCAAAAATGCAATTGATTTCATATATATTATTTCGGCAACATTGCCTGAAGGAGAGTAATTGAGAAGAAATCGTATAGACAATATCATCGGGGTATATAAGGTATAGAACCTGACCCATTTCATATATATCCTCATCAGAAACAGAAGGATTCTGCTTGATTTGGTTTGGTTGTTGAACGCGATAGCATGTGATAGATATGGAAATGCAGCCCGGGCCCCTCGGAGGCCCAGGCCCGTGTGCTTCGCACACACGGCACATCGATAGTTACGCCACTGATGTTTGTATTTAATTGTCTTTAATTTTATACAGTTTTAAAATCAATAATAAATCAAAATAATAATTTTCAGTCTCCTGGCACATGTCCATCACCAGGAATATGCACCAACGTCATGGGTTCCTATTTATGCGTGTGTCCCGACGGATATACCCTGGACTCCGCCACTGGAACCTGCGAGGATATTGACGAATGCGCAGCTAACGAGGGCATCTGTGAAAACGGCGTCTGCACCAACACGGAAGGCGGTGCGTTCTGTACTTGCCCCGATGGATTTATTTTGGAACAAGACACCATGAAATGCACCGACTACAGGTACAGATAGCACAGAGGGCGTTTGAATCGTCTTTAATTTTTGATCTTTATTAGATCATCTATTTTAAAATAATATACAAAAAGCTAGATTTTAAAACAGTACAATATGAAGTTTTGCAAAATCTAAATAACTTTTAACTTACATAAACATAGAAACAAAAAGAAAAAATGAATGAATGAAAAAGTTAAATGTGAATAAGATGTTATTGATATTTAGACAAGACCAATGTTATGATTCGCAAAATCAAGGAAGATGTACTGAACCCAGAGGAATGCAGATTACAGCTAAAGAGTGTTGTTGTTCAAAAGGAGCTGCATGGGGAAGATACTGTGAAAAATGTCCATCAGAAAAATCCCGTAAGTATTAGTTTCTGGTTTTTAAGTTGAATTTAAGCTCTACTAGAGTGTTAGAGGGTTAATATTATACAGGGTGTTACAAAAAACATGTGCCAGCTTTGTTTCGTAGCTACAGGGTGTTAAAGTCTTAATAATCTTTCGATTTATTATAATTTTCTTCCAAGCACTTTTAGCGATTCGAATGAAATTTTGAGGGTATAATTTACTATATACGTGACATATTTTAATGCTAACAAAGTGTCGATAAATTCATCAGGGACGTGCATATGGGTTATCACTGGAATATTTTTCAAAAAAAATGTGTGCGCTATTGACTTTATTGTTTTGGTATCTAAATCGTGTAGGATGTTTAATGCCAATTAAAAATTATCCCTTGATATTTTGTCAAATTTGGCCTCCTTGATGAGATAAACGCAATTTTATTAATCACAATTAATAAAATAAAAACAAAAATAAATTAATAAATTATATATTTCACTTAATTTATTACTAAATATTATTACTATTAGTTATTATTATTATTAATCTAACATACAGTCATTTCAAATAAAAAAAATGGTATTTAAGATAATTACAAAAGACCTAATTTAAAAATCTTTAACATCCTGTAACCCATGTTTATAGGAACTTTTTTTCATATTTCTTTATGAGAAATCAAATAAGTACTTATTTAAACATTTTGTAAGTAAATGATATTTTGTTTTTTTTGGTTAATTGCTATTAAACTGGCATCTTAAGGCAAATTAATAAAATTGCGTTTATCTCATCAAGGAGGCCGAAGCCGACAAAATATGAAGAGACAACTTCTAATAGACATTAAACTGCTTACACTATTTTGCTAACAAGAGAAAAAAAGCCAGAGGCGTACATGCTTTTTTTAGAAAAATATTCCAGTGATAACCCATATGCACGTCCCTGGTGAATATGTCGACACTTTTTTAGCTTTAAAATATGTCGCATTTATAGTAACTCTTGCCCCCAAATTTTATTCGAAACGCTAAAAGTACTTGGATGAAAATTATAATAAATCAAAAAAATATTAAGATTTTAACACCCTGTAGCTACGAAATAAAGCAGAATCGGATCTGTGCTGATATGACAAATAAATCTTATCTTTACTTAATCCCCTCACGAGAGATGCACATGTTTTTTGAAACACCCTGTATACCGGGTGCGTCTCAAAAGTGGCTCACACCTATAACTTTTTATTTTTTCAGATAAAAAAACGAGATTTGGTATGTTAGTATATGACATAAATTAGGATTGATTGACGTATTCAATTGTTCTTAATCATTTCCTGTTTTACCGGAAATGACTACAACTTTTGATTTTTAAATGGGACCCTCGGTATTTTTTTTTACTTTATTCGATAGAAAATGACATTCTGAATGATATATATGATATATATCATATGTCAACTTTTGACATTCTCGCTTAATAAAAAATCGCATTTTAAATTTAAATCTAGAGTGCCATAGCTATGTTAAAAACACTAATTCTTAATCAAAGAGCCTTGGAAAAATAGATTTGATCGTCTAATGTTTTTAGTGTCTTATCCTGGCCGGTTAAAAAATTCCCAAATGGTATTTTTAATTATTTATCAATTTTTTTCAAATGGAACGAGGATGGCTCATTAGCATATTATTTGGAAAAACCATTTTTTACGAATAATTTGATATCACACACTTGGTATTTTGAGTCTGTTAATTTTTGTTACGAACCGCAAGTTATAATTTTAAATAAACCATATGCCAAAATGTCAAAAGTTGACATATTATGACATGTCATTCTATTCAGAGTGTTATTTTCTATCGAATAAAGTAAAAAAATATCGAGGGTGCCATTGAAAAATCAAAAGTTGTAGTCATTTCCGGTGAAACAGGAAGTGACCGAAAACAATTGAATACGTCAATCAATCCTAATATATGTCATATAGTAACATACCAAATACCTCGTTATTTAACTGAAAAACTAAAAAAGTTATATGGGTGAGCCACTTTTGAGAAGCACTCGGTATAATAGTATACAAATAAAATACTTGGAGGAAAGTTTTTATTACTATTTTAAGATTTATGTAACCGGCCCCTAGCAATAAAAAACTTGCTGCAGAATTATTACATCCCAAAAATGACGGTATAAATATTTTATTTTTGATGCTTTTTTCAGCCGAGTTTCAGAAAATGTGTCCTGAAGGTCCAGGACGTATGGACACTGGCAAAGATCTCAACGAGTGTGAGCTGATGCCCAACGCTTGTGATGGTGGTGAATGCGTCAACACTGATGGTTCCTTCAGATGTGATTGCGCAGCTGGTTACACCCTAGATTCCAGTGGGAAGAAATGCGTGGACGAAAACGAGTGCTACACGAACCCGAATATTTGCGGAAATGGAACCTGTACTAACTTGATTGGAGGGTTTGAGTGTAGCTGTAATGACGGATTTGCACCAGGGGCATTACAGGTAACCAAACATAACTGCTTGCGATTAAACTAAGTGGATTGTATAACTAATAGGTGCAGTTCGTTTGCGAAAAATGCGTTTTTGAGATAATTTGCGAAGCGGGAAAAAATACGATAGAATTGAGAAATTACATTAAATAATGACTTTTGCGAACTGAATGGTCTACGTATACTTAACGGCTTCTTCCCACACAAATTAATTCATCGATATACCCGAGAAAGGCCCTCTCTGCAACAAAAATCTATAATTGATTATATGATTGCTAAACAAATATCGAAACTCAAATTCAAAAACTGCAGAGTTAAGAGAGGAGCAAATTGTGGATCCGACCACCGTCTGGTCGTTGCAGAATTAGTAGTACCTTTCCAGAGCAGAGCCAAAAGTATAGAATACACAACATCACAAGAACTGGAAATTGAAGAATCTGAGCGTATTAAGTACAAGCTTCATTTACTACACGATGCCAGTATTAAATGGTTGTACCAGAGAAGATTAGATGTAGCCCTAGAGGAAGTGAAAGCCTGTAACGATGTAGAACTAGAGTATACCAACCTAAAAACCCTAATTAAAAAAGTAGCTTTCGAAGTTTTAGGTGAACAGAACATGCAGATGAACCAGCTTGGATAACTGACAGCATAAAGGCCTTAATCAATGACAAACAAAAATTCTATCAAAGATGGCTCTCAGACCGAACAGATACTAACTGGAGTCATAGTAGTACAAGGAGTACAAGCAAAAAAATAGAGAGGTACGAGCCGCCATTAAGGTAGGAAAAACAGATATTTGGGAAAGAAGGTGCCAGCAAGTGGAAAGCCTAATAGGGGGCGCACGGAGTACTGAGGTTATGGAGAACAATCCGACAAATGAAAACCAATCAAACGGACAAGCTCTTGAATAGAATGGATATAGAAAAATGGCGCAACTACTATGCAGAATTACTGACAGAAAACCGACCAGAATTCCAAGCAGTAGAAGATGAGAACAACCTTGCAGGCACTTTAATGATAAGCAAAAGAGAAGTACATCAAAGTTTCAAAAGAATGAAAAATGGACGGTCACCAGGTCCTGGTAATATTGTAGCCGAATTGTTAAAGTGTGGAACCCAAAGACTACGCTGGCGTCTGGCAGAGCTATTTAACCAATGCTGCCTGCAAAGTAAACTACCCCGAGAATGGCGAGTGGCTCACATAGTGTCCATCTTTAAAAAGGGAAATCGTAACGACCCCACTTGTTATAGAGGCCTAAGCATTAACAGTTCGGTCAACAGACTTTTTGGAAAGGTGTTACAGGGTAGGCTCAGGGACAGTATTGGTGACAAAATCTCGGAAGACCAAAGCGGATTCACACCGGGGAAATCTTGCACAAATAACCTTTTTGTCCTGCAGCAGGTGATGGAAAAAAAGATAGCAGTAGATCAAGAAGTCCATCTAGCATTTATTGATTTTGAGCAAGCGTACGACTCTATTCCCCGCAGCAAGATATGGGAAGTCTTGAATATCTTAGAAGTAGATAGACCTTTGCTTAAGATAATAAAAGAGCTATATAAAGAAAATGAATCGTACGTTAAGTTATGACACAGGCTATCTAATCCAATTAACACCACAAAAGGGTTGCGACAAGGATGCAGCTTATCTCCTCTGATCTTCAACGCTTACGTCGAAGTAGCCCTAAGGGAATGGAAGACAAAATGTCAAGGTATGGGAATACCTATTGGGGACAACACACTATTTACCCTGAGCTTTGCAGACGATCAGGTCGTGATTGCGCAGGACTCATACGATCTAGAGTTCATGACTAAGAGGCTTTATCAAAAATACAACAAATGGGGACTTCAGGTTAGTCTAAAGAAGACCGAATACTTAGCTGTCAATTCCAACGCTTGTTTTGAAGTCTTCATTAATGATAACGTCCAGATTCAACAAGTAGACAAATTTAAATACCTGGGTGCTACTATCAACAACGAGGGTTTGGGCAAAGAAGAAATACAAACCCGAATTCAGAAGAGCAAACAAGTTATTGGATGTCTTAACAGCCTCTGGTGGGACCGAAACTTATCTGCAACAACTAAAAAGAGACTTGGAAGAACATTGGTGGAGTCAGTCCTTGGCTATGGTTCAGAGCTGTGGACTCTGAGTGCAGACGCGAAGCGCAAAATCCAAGTTGTTGAAACGGACTACCTTAGAAGAAGTGCAGGTATATCTAGGATGGAAAAAAAGACAAACATCGAGGTCAGGCGTATCATGAATGCATCGGAGGAGACAGTACTGGATCGAATCGAAAAATCCAGCTTAAAATGGTTTGGACATGTTCTGCGTATGCCGGAGAACAGGTGGCCAAAAGAGTTTTTCAATGGGCTCCCAGGGCAGAAGAAAGAGAGGTAGACCTAGAAAATCCTGGAACGGAACGGTTACGGAAGCAATGGAAGCTCGTAACCTAGAAGCTGATGACCCTCTAAATCGAGATGTGTGACGTAGGGTAACGGGAAGGCAGCAATAGGCTGTAGTTGGAAATGAGTATTAAATACTTAAACCAAATCCCGTTTATATATATATATATATATATATATATATATATATATATATATATATATATATATATATATATATATATATATATATATACATTAAATAAATAGAAAAAAAGTCGATTGATCGCCTACCTTGTTGGGTGAAATACAGGGCCTTCCTAAAGCGATAAATAATAATATTTGTATAAAAGCGAAACAGGTTTTATCTGGTTTTTGTCCATAGAGCACTACACTGTGCGGCGGACGGGTATACGCTAATTTGTCCGGTTCTGCCTATGTTACTACTACGGTGGTCCGGTCTGTGTACAGTGTTTTAGTCAAAACTAATTATGATGTTTTTTTTTCGTTATTATGAAATCAACACCCTGTATTTTTTATCTAATTTATACAGCTTGAGAATTCTAAGAAAGCCTTCTTGAATATTAAAGCCTTAATTGTATACCGTGCTGGCCACTCTTACTTTTGGGTCGGTATTTACATATGTGGAAATCGTATAAAGATCTTATTAAGTCGGAGTGAGAGAAATGCGACAGTGTGCTATCAAGTAAAAGGGCAACGGCCTGGCTACGTCGAAACACCGGTTCCCATTAGAACACCGAAGTTAAGCGACGTAAGGCGATACTAGTGGATGGACGGGTGACCGGTTCGAAACTCTGTATCGTGCTGTTGTCCAAAAAAAGGCAAAAGTCAAAAATCCAAAAAAAGGCAAAAGTCAAAAATCCAAAAAAAGGTAAAAGTAAAATCTATTGACACACACTGCTCATTCACGCCGGTTCGAGGCCCGATGAGATCGGATATCTCGTGAGTAAGAGTCGATTTAGACACTTGCCAAGTCGGTAGGTCATTGACCATGATATGGCCGAGGACCGCGGTTCGGATTCCGCGTAAACAAAGTAGGCGCCGTTCAGATTAGCCCTGGCAGCAAAAAGGAGAAGTTAACTGAAAATTTTTCTTTACTTTTCTATCAAGTAAAGTAAAATCATGATGGCAAACCGCTTATTTTTAAAAGGCTTATTTTCGAAAAGATAACTAGATAAAATGATTAGATATATTTCTGAGCATCTGAAATGGAATTATAAGGATATCGTTAGGATGTCACTATAACGAGAAGTAATTGCGATAATTTAAAAATTCAACTTTTTGACACATAACACGCGATAACTCGAGAACTACTTTAGATATTGAAAGTTCGGATCTTTTACAAGATGTTTAAATAAGAAAAAATTGATAGGCTTGTTTTTTTAATTAAATTTTTTTAAAAAACCAAACCAAAAACCCATCCATTTACTTTTAGTGCATTGCAATTTTAAGCAATCGTGTAACTTTTTTGTTTATGCAGATTTTCACATAATGTCTGCGAAGAAAATATAGCAGAAATATTAAGAAAGTTTTTGAAAAAAATAGAGTTCTAATAGCGCGAGCACTATCGAACACCAAATCAATTCCACATATTTTAACCAAAAGTGCAAGTGTTTCTAACTTGCACTTAAAAATGTACAAGCTATAGCTGATTGTAATTATTTTAGCTTTCTTGGGTCTGAAGATGGGAAATGTTAAGTCCCGAAACATGTCGCCGCCCTTCTTTTTTTGAAGCAAATTAAATTTAAATAAACATCTTAAAAGATTGTGCGTTTTTTGGCCCCTACCCCTCGTCAGAGGTTTTACTTTCATATGTACTCACACTGGGTTGGAGATCATTTTGTTTTTAATTTGTTATTTACTAATAATGAGAAATAATTACCCTTTGGGCTGCAGGAGATTTTTTCCATATTTATTAAAATTATAATTATTTTTTTTTGCCAAAAATATTTTTAGTTTATTTTTATAGCGACACGTGTTCGTGTAAAATTTATTTTTTAAGTAAAATAATGGATGTTTACGAAGTCCTTGAGAAAATTCAAATTGTAAAATGGTATTTCCAAAATAGGTCTTATCGGGATATACAAACAATTTTTCACAAACTTTTGTAGACAGGCCAATTCCATCTTTACCTACTGTATCAAGAGTTATTAATAATTTTGAAACACATGGGTGCGTGTTCCCACAAAAACACAAAAAGCCTGATGTGTTGATTAATGAAGATCAGGAGTTAAAACAAGTGTTCATTTGTGCTACCGCGGATCAAAATCCCACCTTTTCAAGTAATCAAATTGCTGAGGTGGTTGTCCCGCCCACAATGCCCGTATTGTTCACGAATATTTGAAGAATACTTTTCCCAACCGTTTAATTAGTGGATATGGAACTATTTCGTGGCCCGCTAGATCACCAGATCTTTCTCCCAATGACTTATTTTTATGGGGTTATGTAAAATCCAAAGTGTATGGTCATAATAGGGCTAATAATCTGGATGAGCTTAAAGTAAAAATACGAGAGGCTTTCCAAACTATTAGCACAGAATATGTAGCTACGCAACAGAAGTCTCGTTACACGTATAAAATCGTAGGTCTCAAAAGGAGACAGGCTTTTAAAGCCT